TCATTATAGCATAATCAGGGGCCGAACCAGTTTCAATTTTGAGGGGGACATACAGTATAAAAATAATATTATATATCTATATATTACAGATTTTTTTTTAAAAAAAATTAAGCAAGAAAAATAAAGAAAAAAGACGTAATTAAACTGTTATGAAAAGCATGAAAGAGAATATTATAATTAAATGTGAAGAAATATATAGATAATTTAGAACAAGTTAGGACAAAAAAAATTTTTGGCGGAGGCAAAAGTAATTTTTTAGGAGGGACAAAAAATTTTTTTACTCACCTATAAAAAAATTATTTACTCTTATAAAAAAAATCCCCCCTAAGCATTATATGGTTTTGCCATTGAGCATAATGGTCATTTTTATTAGGGGGTGTCATTAAATAGTCCGTCCTAAAAAATTAGGGTTCGGATGTACCTGTTTAATATAATGTTTATGTTCGGGTTATATATTCTGACCTGTTTATTAAACAGATCGAATTCAGCTTCACTTAGGGGCATTTGATTTGTTTAAAAGGAAGGCATAATAAAATAGAAGACATTATAAAAGTAATTCTAATATATTTGAAATATTTTGAGTTGTTTATATGAGTATAAAATAATATAGAAGATTTTTTTTTTGTTTGACATGAATAAAAATAAATTATGTGGAAAGTCTAATAATGGTGCCAACGAGTGGCCAAAGGCAGTGGTAGAAGATGATCAACAACGGTGATGGCGAGCAGTGGCTTGCGGCGGCTGGAGGTTGATGATCAATAGCTAAGAATATGTGATGGATAATGGATGTGGGTGTCGGACATGATGATGATTATGGTAGAGAATTTCAGTATATTTGAAAATTAGTCAAATATAATGATTTCTAAATACGTCAAAATTGATTTAGAAAGTTATTTTCAAGTACTTTAATTTTTTGCTATGCATTTCTCTCACTTCAAATAATAAAATAAAATTATTAAAATTCCTGCATTTAAAATAATTTATATCAGTTTTACTTCAGACCACACAGCCTCTTAGATAAATAAAAAATCCAGCTAAACTTTTTCATCAAAAAGGTAGCATGTCAACTAGTGAATTATTGATGCTGACTCATAGAGAAAACTTGCTTGTTACCTTTTTATGAATCATTAAACCTAACTTCAGCTAGGAATGAGATTAGATTATTGATAGCGACTTAAGAAACATAAATGTTTTAAAAAATATATATTAAAAAAAAGAATATTGATAGTTGAGTCTGAATATCTTAGACTTCATTTGGGACAGCTTTTTTCTTACTTTCTAAAACAGTTTTCTAGTATAAAAATTTCTTGACTTTGAAAATTTTGTACTATAAAGCCAGTTTTAAAAAGCAATACGAAAGCTTTCCCAAACGAAGCCTTAATTAATAACTCCCTCGAACATTTTCTAAATGCAGTTAATGGCACATCCATTGCCTTTATTCATTCAGACAGTAAAATCGTGGGAATCTCGAGAAGTTTGGAGCCTTTAATAATCTATGATGATTTTAGGCTTCGTTTGGTACTGTTTTCTTACTACTTTATGAAACATTTTTTTTAGTACAATTTGTTTTAATTAAAAATTTTTATATTAAAATATTACTTCATAAAGCAATAAGAAAATAGTCCCAAACGAAATCTTAATATTGTATTAAAATGATATTTTTATAAAACAGAAGATTTCAGTCATATAACAAACATTCAACTTGAATGCTACTCAAGTAATTCTTCTACTTCATAGATATATTATATAAATAAATTGAAAAATTCTATGTTGCTAAGTGCTAATAAAAGGCAGAAAAAATTTGAATCAGGATATTTTTAATTTTAATTTGATTGGGATTTTTTTTTATTTTATATTGAATTTAAAATGAGTGCAATATTATGTTTATCTCAAAATAAATTCAATAAAAAAATAATTCTATCTCATTCAAAATTCTGTCAGAATTTTCTTCATAAGAGATCCTACAGTCAAAGCTTTCAAGCTTTCTTAACAACTGAACTATTTAGATCTCAGCGAAGACTGAGCACCAAACCGTTAAAGCGACCAACTCTTCTTCTTAAGATTCTGAATGGACA